ATGGCTACCGAGGGTAGCAATGAGTCGGCTGTGAGAGCGCATGGAGAAGAAGAGAGGAAGAGTTCTTTACATTTTATTGGCCGGATAGTACCGTTCACCATTTGAAATTATACCCGTAGCTATGCAGAAGACGTTACTTCAGTAACGTCTGGCGCTAGCCAGGGTCCACACAGCTTTAATTTGGTATTTGTTTGTTTGTGTGTTTGTTTGTTTGTTTGTGTCACGCCTGGTGCTATCCCGTATCTGACGGCAAAAAATCATAGGGATGTTATACATTTTTCAATTCTCCTATTTTTTTTAAGGCATATCCTGGGATTCGAACCCGCACTATCGCCCTACATGCATTCCCCCATACACTTCGCATTCATACCCATTCTACCAAGTTGCTTCACGTTATGATCTTGCCCACCGTTTAGGAGCTGCATCTGCGCCTTGATCCAAGAGGGTGGTGGCGCTCCTGCGGATGCGGAAAACTGGGCCTTTGGCCGAGTCTCACGCGAACCGTGAAATTTTTTTTTTTGAATATTGCGGGCAGCTGTATGTGGCCAGCTGTGTTTGATGGTACGGTACGGGAGACCGTGTCGTATTACCCTCGATCGTACCTGTCCCGTACCTATCCCTACCGTACCGTACCATCAAAGACGGCTGGCCACAATGCATATTCAAATAGGGCTTTCAAATACAAGATCATAATGTGAAGCAACTTTGAAGAATTAGTATGTATGCGAAGTGTATCGGGGGATGCATGCAGGGCGCGATAGTGCGGGTTCGAATCCCAGGTTATGTCTTAAAAAAAGGAATTTTTTAAAGAAATTATAACATCCCTATGCTTTTTTTTGTCTAGGTCATCAAGGCAAAAAAGCATAGTGTAGGGCCCTGAGCTTCCAAGCTCTCTCGTTATTATTGTGATGCCGCGATAGTACAATCATGTACATGGAAGGTCCAGATTTCAAGTCTTAAAGACGTTCAAACACACCGACCTAAACTTGAAGCATGCCTGCCGCTATCCCATACCTGTCCCGTAGCGTACCATCAAGGACAGCATGGGCATGTCTGGTGCTATCCCGTACATGTCCCGTACTGTACCATCAAGAACTGCATCGGCGTTGGCATGCCTGCACTATCCCGCACCTGTCCCGTACCTTTCCATCAAAGACAGCTAGCTGGCCACAATATTCAAATAGGGCTTTCAAATGCAAGATCATAACGTGAACCAACTTAGAAGAATGAGTATGTATGCGAAGTATATCGGGGGAATGCATGCAGGTCGATAGTGCGGGTGCACATCCCAGGTTATGTCTTGAAAAAAATTGGAGTAATGAAAAATTTATAACATCCCTATGCTTTCTTTTGCTAAGGTCATCAAGGTGGTAGACGGTGTCGTATTATCCTCGAATGCAAAGAGAAAGTTGACTCTCGCCAGGCAAAAATTATAGTGTAGGGCCCTGAGCTTCTAAACTCTCTCGTTTATATGATGCCCCTATAGTACAATCATGTACATGGATGGTGCTGTTATGAACCCTCTGATTCTCTAAAAGTGTCAGGACCGAACGACCACGCGGCACGAGGACAACTATTGAATATATTTCACTCCGATCGAATCTAATAACTATTTTGAAGAGACTCTTAGGGTGCGTTTGGTTGGTACGATCTAGAATAGGATCGAACAGCTGGTGCACAGGGAGCAGGCTAATGCCAACCAAACGGTACTCCAGAAACAGAGCACATATTTGTGAAAAATATGCCAAACTTGGTGCATTCTTCAAAGTGTGCATGGGTCACCATGGTGTCCGGTACGGCGGGTCCAACCCAAAAGCGTATACATTTGGGACCAAAGTCTATGTTCCCGCTAGGTTTCACTGTGGAGAAGTGAATCAGGCTGCTCGGTCTGCTCCAGCCTCGAGGCCGGTGCAAGCAGAACATGTTCTGGCTGACCCAGAACAGGTGCAGTCCCAACCAAACGCGCTGTTCTGGTGAATCCCGTTCTACAGTAGACTCGTACGCCCAAGAACGTCCAGGCTGGAAATCTAAGAACGCCCCAGCCAGGATTTAAGAACGAACACCAAGATTTTTAAGAACGCGACATTTTCTTGTCCGAGTACACGAAAAACAACAAGTCCGCAACCACAAACTCTTGTCGGGTACTCGCGAAAACATCACCCAGTGCAGCGCTACATACTGCACGTGCATGTAAAGTGTACAACCGGTACATGCAGCGCAAAGTGCATTGTACATGAGCGTCACGGACCATGTTGGACGCGTAAGAACGCGAAATAAGAATGTAGCCTGGGGCGCTGAAAAATAAGAACTTTGCTAGGCTGGCCCTCTGAAACCGCGTTCTTGGGCGTACGAGTTTACTGTAGGTCGTACCAATCAAACGCGTCCTAAGATAACCAGCTAGTTATAGCGTGAAAATGACAGCGTATATCAGAACATTCAACTCGGATGGTGCGCCAATTAAATTAATGGTGAAAAAGGAGAAGGACAAAATGTTAATCATAACTCGTAACATTTCGTCCTTCTCCTATATTAGAAAGGCATACACATACAAATACAACTACAGAGCACACAGCAAATCGCGCCGTACTACTGATGTTTACGGCGCGGTATACGCTACATGTGCTATGTGCGAAGTCGAGATGCAACTGCATTGAAACGAACACAATGTCACAAGCGAGAAGGCCTTTCACACTTGAGAACTTGTGGTTTCATAACATTCTCCCCACCAAAGGGCTTCTCACCGGCGTACAACAACTCACAAGTCAAGGCGATCCAGGGCTCTGACTACCATCCAAAACTTGTCAACTTCTGCTGCGGGGTGGCCATGGTGGAATAGGGAGGTTCTGCTATACGTGAAACGTAGAGAAATCACGTAGAGAGCAGGTGTCTGGGTTAGAGTCTACGGCTTCGCGTGTTTTGGCTCCAGATTTCTACGCGGAGATGGGGTTCTCTACGTTGTGGCACACGCAGAGAAAATGCGTACGGATTTGCTGGGTATCGATCAACTGCATGCAGAAAACTGCCAAATATGGAAGGGGAAATTCCCAGTACACATTCCACGTGACTTCTCTAGGTGAAACGTAGAGCAGAACAGCAGTTCTTTACGTTACGGGAACGCGAAGAAAGTTCGCGTGATTCTTTGCGTCGCGTTCCCAAAACGTAGAGCAGAACCTCCCTAGTATCAGTGATCACGACTTCAGCCAACTCAATCGCTCCGAGCTTGTCGATTTGAGCTTTGACACATGACACGGTCACTGGTCCACTGCTTCAACCCAGGGCAGACTCTGGACCAGACAACACACACCAATCTGTGTTCCACAGTCTCGCCGTTGAGTCCTTCCTTGCTGTGCAGCATCGCCTTTCTCCTTTCCTTAGGCAGAGACTCCAGCTGCTTCTCGGCGTGTCCGACCAATATCGCCTTGCACCGCACCGACGTTGTGGTCCTTGGATCTGATCCTCCCACTGGCTTCAAAGACTTCACTGACCGCTGCTTGCCTGTAAACAAAGTCTCCCGTGCTTTGTATGGCGTCCTTCCGAGCGAGGCAAGCAAATCTCGCTTTGCTTCCTCATAGGTACTGTAGCCAATACTGTTCCTTTTCACAATGCTACCCGATAGCGCGATACGCAATCGCAGCAGCCATTCGTTTTCGTCGAACTTATTCTTGACACAGATGTCCTCGAACAGGTCGAGATAACGCTCCAGTGGCTGCCTTCCATCGTATATAGGGACTTTCATTAAAAGCCTACGCCCACTGCTGTGACTGGGAGCTTCCGCTGTACCTCCCAGCGACCTCACACGGGCGGCTTCACCATTATCCTCATACGCCCTGGTGCGCTCGTTCATCTCCTTGAGCCTTTCGTCAAACTCTGTTCTGAGCGCACCCTCTTGCCGTCTGGCACTGCGCTCTTCACGCTCCTCGCACTGTTGGAGCCTATGCTCCACGTTCGCAGCCAATAAAGCGGGAGAAGGCATCCCAGCGGCTGCCTGCCTGTTAAGGCTGAAGTGGAAGAGATGAAGAGGTTTGTTTCAAGAGCCTCATTAGCGCGTCCAGTAGTAAAAGATAACCTACACAGCACTATCCTTGCAATAATGCGGTGAACCATCTCCAGGTTGCAGAATTGTGATTCCTCTTCCTCGACACAATTGATTTCTGGATCTCCACCACTCCTGCACCTGCTTCTGACAATCCCTCATCTGGATTTAACCGCAATACTTGTCCGCTTCTGGAAGCTCGGAAACTTCAATACATTATGAATTCGCAGGTGCCCAGTTGCCATTGTTGTGACCCAAAGTTACACCATAATATGACAGAACAGATCCACCCCTGCCAATGGTCACTACACTTGAAGATGCATCAGATGAAGATGTTGTGGGAAATGTTGCTTTCATGGTCATCAGATTGCATGTAGTTCTCCGTCAGACTCCGATGGCTCCTCTGGGACAATTTGCAGGAAAATGAAAGGGAATGAACAGTATCAAGGACATTCGCCACGTGTTTTGTGTAATCTGTGTACTAATGTTCACCCGTTCCAAATTCGCGATTCTCACTCAACGGTTGTATGTTGATCGTATAATTATTTCGTCCTGTATTCAGAAGTTTTCCGCCCATGTAACTTTCCTTTGTCTGGTCGGCACACAAGCAACTCAATATGAATGATGCCTTCGAAATCTCTTCAAATCGTTTCCATCTACTTGCAGTAATGGCTTTTTTTAGTGTAGGTGTCAAATTACACAGGTTGGCCGTTCTAGGCATACCTGCTTGCCTCTAATATGGTACCTCATCGACTATAAATCAAAGGTATATGGCAGACGAAACAGGAACAAAATTAGGAATAGTCACGAGATTTGAGCTGATTCTGATGAACCATATTTCAGTAATTCCAAAAGTTAAACCCGCTCGGTGTCAAATGACACCGCTGGCTGTTCTAGGGTTAACGCTGTCCAACTACACTGACCTAAACTTTGAAATGGTGCGACAACTGTAACCTCTGTGCTGCAGGTCCTGCTGGCTGGGGCAACATTTCTGGCTTTGAGACGTGCGGCAATGGAACAGACCAGTCACCAATCAACATCCCAAAAGCCAGCGCAGCATATATGACCTACCCAGCACTCAATGTTACGAGCAGAACATCTAATGCAAGTTTTTATTTCACCAACAATGGTGCAGCTGTGAGAGCGGACCCTATAGGCACAACATCAGTGAACATTACCGGTGGCCCACTAGATTCGGAGCAATACAGTATCGATAATTTCCACATCCATTTTGGAAACTCTACGTTCATGTCATCCGAGCATTCAGTAGATGGTTCAAGAACAGCTGGTGAGGTAAGAGGGTTGAGTATACACAGTACTGCAGACCTTTTAAGATATGACACTTTAAAAAGTGGCTGGGCTGTACAATTTTTTTTAGGGGTAATATGACTGCCTTGGGGTAATATGACTGCCTTGGGGTAATACGACTGCATTTTGACTGCATGTTTTACTTTATCGGCAAGGTAGAGATGAAATTTGAAAAATGTTTTTGGCGAATCTCTGGAGAAGAGCCTTTTCTAGCCGCCTATCGTTCTTTTTTTACTTTTGGACAAATATTGAAAACGTTTGATAAAAGGTGCGAGTTATTTTTCCCAGGGATCTTTCATAAAACCTTTTTGCCAGCTAGCTGGCCTCTGCGTACACCGCAGAAACACCCACACACAACAGAAAGATACAGATCACAGTAGTAGTATGGTCTTTGTTCACTCACTGTGAAAGATGGAAGAGCTTAGCGTAGTGTATACATGAGCAAGAAGAAGGGCATGCCACCTCACGCATATTATACATGTACACGTATGTACCAGACAAACAGGATGCAAAAAGTGAACCACTGTGGTGAATGGGGCCGCCGGAAAATTAGGGTGCGTTCTTATATTCTCTAGCTTCTAGAAGAAGAAGAAAAGAGAGGTCGAAGAAACTGGGATTACTCAAGAACGGGTCTCGAAGAATTCGAAGTTATTTTGCACATGTCAAGCAAAATGAAGCGTCAAAGGGGCCGCGATCTTGAGTGATGAATATACGTGCGTATGCGAAAAGGGAAATGCGTACACTCATGATGAACACGTGGCTTTTAGTCGTAGTTCGCATGCGCGGATCCCAAACCGCGGGAATCTCCAAGTTTCAAACCACCTCTGAAGCTTGGAGAGCTTGGAGAGCTTTGGAGAGCCTCCTAAAAGTCGGAGAGGATATAAGAACAGCTCTCGAACTTTTCGGAGAGTCTCCAACTTTTCCGAGAGGATTTAAGAACGCACCCTTAACCAGCCCGAAGCTGGCGAAAAAAAAAACAGGACCCCGGCGGTGGCACAGCCCTGAGGAAAACCGGTTAGAATATCCCCATCAGATAAATGAAAAAACGTAGCCTGCAGGACCTATCCAGAAGTGAGAACAAAGGGGAGGGCGGGTGGGAAACTACAACGAAAAGAGAAAGGCCACGATGAAGAGAAAAGTTTGAGAACACAGACAAAAAACCAGATGACGCAATCCTGGCGCCGTAACTATGGTGAAAATGCTGGCAAAAAATACATTTTCGTTTCATTTGCTACACTCAGCCAACGAAACATAACACTTTTTGCCAGCTAGCTGGCCTCTGCGTACACCGCAGACACACCCACACACAACAGAAAGATACAGATCACTGTAATATGCAAATAATCGACATGGAGACAACAATGTTTTCGTAGGTGCACAGCATGATTGTTTGTCTCACTACACAGTTTTAGCGTTATAATTAGTTTCTCACCCGCCGTTGCACTTAGCTGTCACTTCACCTCTATTCAAGACTATTGTCTGACCTTCCCTCATTCTATTTTGGCACTGTATTTTGTTCTCGTAACACATCATTGAATGTATATTTAAACATTGTTCAGCATGGTTACTCTTCAGTCACGACTTTCCACTGATGAATGTGACAAGAAAATTAATTCTGGTAAACTTTCATGACTTGCAGAATTTGTTCTCTTTATTGCTATCACTGTAATAGTGTGGTCTTTGTTCACTCACGACGGAAAGGATTGCTGACCCGATAGTCACTGGTGCAGTATAGCGCGAGACACCGACAGCATGTTCTTGAGAGAATCCTCCACATACATGTTCTTTCATGTGGATGAAGGAGCTCTGGCACGCCAGCATTGGCCGCTGCCGTCGTTCCTCCCAAGCGGAGACTGTGCGTGCCATACCCTGTGGGGTCTTCACCTACGCGGGCGAGATCCGTGTGGATCAATTCGCGCGCCCGGGCGTATGTCATCTTGCCCCGCAGACATGACTGGTGGGTTGCTGCGGAGACCTTGCCAAAGAGAGGCTGAGCGGATACATGCCGTGCTCTCTCCAAGAAGCCCTCTATGAACGACACAGGACATGGTGTAGTAGCCTGCTGCTCCAGCCAACTCACCATGACCACATCGCCTTGGCTCAACTGGTCATTCTTGCGTTGTCACAGGTGGAGGGACATATGCGTGCCGCAAATGGAGACTTCCTGAGGCGTGAGGCGTTGTAAATCGTACCAGCGAAGCAGAGTGGTGAAGCCGAGGAAACACAACGCTGTGGTTTGCCAGTCCTGCCACGGGGCGGTAGGGGTAGCCAGTGTGGCGACGACCTTGTTAAACACCGCCGACCTCAAGGGTGAGCGGCGACTGATTGTTCGGGCACAAAGACGTCTTGCAGCAGTGAGCAATTATCTCACCACGCCATGTTGTGTTGGATCCTGGCAATCCGCCTTACAATGCACCCAGTGCAATGCCGCCACTTATTGATTTATGCAAATACAAATTCAACTTGGTCGAGCTATTCGTTTGCTCGTTGTAATTGTATTATATTTTCGCCACGCGTTTTATATCGCCATCAATATCCTGTTTGGCTGTTGTCGCTTCGGCTTATGCAACAGCTATACATGTTGTGTATATATATACACTAGCAGCACCAGGCCAGCGTTGCCTGGCCGAATGTGGCATGCGGGTGAAGCACGAACGTGAACAGCACACGTGCTCAGCACGTGGTGGTGGCCAGACCGCTGAAGTCCTGGTGAGGGAGGTTCTTCATGGTTGGAAGGAGAAGGAGGGACGTCTGTTACGCCTTCGGGAGGCTGGTCAGGGTTGTCCATCACCTGGTGGCGGATGAAGCGGCTCAAAAAATTCATAAGTTACGAACAAAAGTGCGATGCGCTCTTCACTGCAGATCAGATGCAGAGTGCAATCAGTGCAGATCTTTTGTATCCTTTTCTTGCAGTTGTTTCTATTTGCAGAAAACGGTTCACGTGGTCCGCAGCGCTTGTGCGGCTGCTAGTGCTACCTATGCCCTTGGCTAGGTGGCTACATGATTCGCACGCTTCGCGTGCTCAGTGCTTCTGCGCGCGGCTGCTACTGCTACTCGTACTGATCGTGTCTGCTATAACTAATAAGCGCTACCACCTAGTACCTAGTACCTACACTGTTCGCACGCTTCGCGTGCTCAGCACGTGGTGGTGGCTACACGATTCGAACGCTTCGTGTGCTCAGTGCTTCTGTACTGTGGGTGCTTCCGCTAGCTAGCTACACGATTCGCACGCTTCGCGTGCTCAGTGCTTCTGCAGCCGCTAGCTATACTGTGCTACACTGTTCGCACGCTTCGCGTGCTCAGGGCAGCGCTGCTCCGCAGCGCTTCAGCGTGACATACACACACACGTCACAGGTGCCTCTTCTTTATAAGGAGCGTGACACACACACACACAGACACACGTCACAGGTGCCTCTTCTTTATAAGTAAAGATGTACATTGCATTGATGCCAACGCAGAGAAGCTCCTAACAATAACGAGAGAGCTTGGAAGCTCAGGGCCCTACGCTATGCTTTTTTGCCTTGATGACCTAGACAAAAATGCATAGGGATGTTATAAATTCTTTAAAAAATTCCTGTTTATTTAAGACATAACCTGGGATTCGAACCCGCACTATCGCGCGCCCTGCATGCATCCCCCATACACTTCGCATACATACCATATGGCATTCAATTGACCGTAACTTTGGTGTTTCTCAATGGATTTGAGTGAAATTTTGACCACACACTCCTGCCACTATGCTGGCCCTCAGGACATGATTTACAAGTTCTTGCGCCTCACTGACAGGCTTTCCAGGCCGGAAAAACTCAAATTTCCGGCATAGTGCCACGGTGTGCGAGCCACCCAGGAGCCAAACAAATGCATTTACAATTTTTTTCACATTTTCGTGCTCCTTCTGTCCGTGCGCGGGACCCAAACCTAGAACAAGTCCAGAAGCAGCCATGGGTGATGGAGTAGGGCCCCTCAACGAGGCCCTGGAATCTGTCACAACGGAACGAGTGGGCGTTCTCTCACACACCCACACAGACCCAAGTCAATTTTTGAATTTTTTTAGGTTTAGCACGTGCTACGAGGTCGTACCTTTGATACAACATCCAGTGCTGGGACCTCCACAGCAAGCCATTTCCACAGCGCTGCACACCAAATCCAGGATACCCTCAGAAACCGGCAAAGACTACCACTCACGTTTCACTACTGCCTAGTACTGAATCCTACCTGACTTCTTGACACGACTCAAACTTGCCAAAGTCACTAAATCAACGTCAACTACAATAATCAAGCCACATATCTGCAACGTCACAAGGGTGCTGGCAAAACTCCAAAAGTCCTGCTGCACGGCGGTGGGCTTCGCCGCCGTGCAGGCTTCGCCCGCCGCCGTGCAGCCCAATACGTGGCTCAAAAACCTGATTTTTTGGACTTGGAGCAAAATTCTGCACACTTTCGCGTGTTTCCATGATACGACAAGTTGCGCATGGTCTGCTCACATTCAAATACAGTGCTGCCAACAAATGACAGCGTGCAACAAAAAATCTTTCCTTGCAAGGGCACATTTTCGGCCATAACTCTTGAACGGCCGGTCAGATCGGGACACAATTTTCAGAGAATTTGCAGCTATTCATGCTCTTTCAACTGACGTAGCACTCAATATGAATTTACAAATTCGATTTTTCAGCGAATTTTTTGGGTAGTCTGCCACCTTAAGCCCGATTCACAATACAACTTTCTGCGACACGACATGCGATTTGCGACAGTTGCGACAAGAAACTGCCTGTCGCGAGCTGTCGCAATGCACCTGTCGCAGAAGTTGAAGAAAGTTCGACTTTTGGGACATGCGACACGCGACATACACAAATGGAGTACAGTTTCGACCCTGGGTGCACGCGCAGTGCACGTGCATAGTACCACTTGTGCATGAGGATGTCGACATGTCGCAAACATGAAGAATATTGTGAACCGTGTGTCGCTGTCGCAGCTCGTCGCATGTGTCGCAAGTTGCTTGTCGCGTCGCAGAAAGTTGTATTGTGAATCGGCCTTTATGATCTTGCATTTGAAAGCCCTATTTGAATATGCATTGTGGCCAGCCGTCTTTGATTGTACGGTACGGGATAGGTACGGGACAGGTATGATCGAGGGTAATACAACACCGTCTACCGCCTTGATGACGGCAAAAAAAGCATAGGGATGTTATACATTTTTATTATTATTATTATTATTATTATAGACAACACCTCATGGCATGAGAAGAAAATCAGCCAGTACGGGAGATGTGGGTGTTAACCAACCATGGTGAATAAAAGAAGAAAAGTAATGGTCAAGACGGAGAAGCATGGGAGGGACAGGTGATGGTGAATCTAGTGAGCAGATTTAAATGCGTCCAGGGTACTGGCATTGCGCGTAGTAGCGGGCAGCGCAAGCCAAGCAGAGTAAGCAACAAAGAGTGGAGAGCGTACAAGGGAGGACGTTTTAGCCAAGGGGAGGGCAACAGAGCATCTTGTCTGGGAGCCATCTGTGATTCGGAACCAGTTATACACGTTAAGATGAGGAGGATGTAGAGCTAGTTTAAATTTGTGAGCAAAAGTGCAAATTAATTTTTGACGGTGGGTCGACAGTGGGCAAGCATTTGCAAGGACATACAGGGAAGCAGAAGGGTAGAGGGGGTAGACTAAATAGTAGTGGTGAAACGAATATTCGAATATTCGAACATTCGTTCGGTTTGTCACATTCGAATATTCGTTAAGTCACATTCGAGTATTCGTTACGTCACTTCGAATGCAGTGCCTGTACATACATGCACGCCGAACACAGTACACTGCAGTGCGTACAGCCTGCCTGTGACTTTGTACTGTATGCATGCACATGTATGTCCATACTGGACTGCCAATGTTGCACATAACATGTATGAACTTCGAAGTAGCCTTATGTGGCAGTACATTTTATGTGGCACTACTGTTTGTCATACCTAATAGTAATGACAATATCCATCAAAGGACTGGGAGGAGGGCATGTGATGTCATCTCTGTTACCAAAAGAATATTCGTTCATTCGTTCGTTAAGCCGAAGAATATTCGGCTAGTAGGTTTTGACATTCGTTTCACCACTACTAAATAGGATACGGAGAAGTTTTCTATGGTGGATTTCGAGATGCTCAGCGAGAACCGAGGACAAGCCACACCAGCTTTCAATTCTCCTTTTTTTTTAAGGCATATCCTGGGATTCGAACCCGCACTATCGCCCTACATGCATTCCCCCGTAGACTTCGCATTCACACCCATTCTTCCAAGTTGCTTCATGTTATGATCTTGCGTTTGAAAGCCCTATTTGAATATTGCGGCCAGCTGTGTTTGATGGTACGGTACGGTGCGGGACAGATAAGGGATAGCGCCAGGCGTGACACAAACAAACAAACAAACAAACACACACACAAATACCAAAATTAAAGCTGTGTGGACCCTGGCTAGCGCCAGACGTTACTGAAGTAACGTCTTCTGCATAGCTACGGGAATAAAATAATGGACATTTTTATAATTACAATGTACTTTTTGTAATTTCTTCTCTACAGCTCCACGTCGTATTTTTCAATTCCAGATACTCGTCTTTAAGAGAAGCTTTGGCCAGTGGAGACAGTGACGCAGAGGCCGTCATTAGCATTCTGTTCAATGTAAGTGTATTTTCAGGTCATGAAGGACTAGTTCAAGTTATACATTGTACTGTTGAGGTGACGAACTAAAAAATCGAGAAAAAAGAAGAAAAAGAATGAAATGTTTGCACCGAAAATGCATCTGTTCACAGGCAGAATGTTGAACAGGTTAAACATCACGAATCATTTGCATTACACTGTAGTCCACTGTACATGGAAACATTTGTATCGGTCTCTAAGCCTTATCTCGGGGCTTTAAGCGGCTTAACAACATGAAGTTGTATGCAAATGGCTCCTGACACTGCCTAGTGACATCCCTTACTCTATCATGTTATGTGAATGTTTTCGTTTTTGCTTATAATTATTAAGTTGGTTGTCCCAATGAGGAAACACGCTTTTTGCCGAACTTGACACTTGTGGAAGTTGAAGGTGAAAGGTGCGACGTGCTCCTTCTGGGCTCTTCGTGGCAGTCGTGAGTCACTCAAGTTTCGAGTTCGGAAAGAAGCGCGTGTTCCTCATTGGAATAACCAACTTTATAACTAATACCGCTGAAAGCGCAACTTCTAAGTTCGTAGTGCCTATAATAATGACTGTTATGAATTTTTTGAGTTACCCGCATATGATGTGTAGTTGATGATTCATCACATCCAGAGAGGTACCCTGGTTTTTGTGCTTCCTTGCGTCATAAGACATTTCTTGTCATCTGAATATCTGTGTTTCATCTGACTGTGGAGAGTAGGTTGCATCAAACGCTTCCAGTGCACACCCAGGCCTGGAGACGATTTTACGCCATTTCTCCACCTTGACATATCCGGGTGAGTCCTGTGAATAGAGAAGTTCCATGCTAAGGGCCTATTTCCACTACGGTACCGTGAGTGCCGTGCCGTGAGTACCCATGGTGATTTGCTCACGTGAGGGGCAGTTTTGGCGCGAGTTCATTCCGTGGCTCCTGCCGTACCGCGCGTGGACATTCCTGTGCCGAGGGCCTCTGGGGGGTGGAAATGGCATGCCGTGGTATTCCGTGAGGTCGAATGCAGTGAGTAGTAGGTATTTTACTACTCCCTGAAAGGAAGTTTTTTCTTGGCTTTTCGATTGGTTGATTCTTGAGCTTTCTCCAGTCATCTCCCCCGCTATTTTCCCTCAGGACCAAAGTCAGAAATTGATAAAAAATGGTGATCCGGCCTGCCGACGGAATGACTATGCGCAGGTGTAAATCACTCTCAGCTTCAAGCTCGTACCGTGGGATACACGTGACCTACCCACATCGTCGGCACGGCACTCACGGTACCGTAGTGGAAATCGGCCCAAAGTAAAGTACAGCAACTCTACGCAAATGGGTGGGCAAAGCCCGTAAATTCGAGAGTCTGCGCTCCGCTTGCGGAAAGGTGTCTACGGAGAGTACATACATGTTGCTCCACCAGCAGAGGTGCTCCGTATGTGGATAGGGGTATGCATTAATAACTCTCTCCCAAGGGGGTACACTGTCACATTTGGAGTTGTCAACGACAGTTACATGGTTCGAGAACTTTGTATGGCATGACACGGATCCGTATGCAGTGCATGTAATAGTTTTTGCAGATCGACATCTAACTTAGCTGGATCAGGGAATAACACTGCCCAGTGTTTGCCTTCTCGTATACCGACTTTGCACTTGTACCGACTTTGCAGCTGTTTCAGAGTTCGGTGATATACACTCCATCGACTTCGCCACACTGCTGAGGCCTTCGGACCTCACATCATTCTACACATACGAGGGATCACAGGCTACGCCAAGGTGTAATGAGCAGGTTATATGGATGGTCATGAGCCAAGTACAGTATGTCCTACCAGCATCGGTACGTCTTCCAATGTATGGCTCGCTGAATGCAGTGTGATAAATCGTAGATGCTGAAGAATTGATTCCGTAGATGCTGAATATTTTTTATTCATAAAAAAGTTGAGGGAATGTAGAACGGAAAGGTTTGAAGAAAACTTGATTGTCACCACCAGGACTCGAGGGACTGTTGCTTGAGGCCAGCGATACTCACCACTGAGCTATAGTGTAGCTGCAATCGCAGCAGAGACCGTTCAGCATTTCCTTCAGGCTTCGAATATTTGCTGAATACTTTTGTGATTTTATTCAGTATGTCCTACCAGCAGCGGGTTTGTCTGACTACAGTGCATTGTGAAAGATTTCATACCCCGCTGGAATATTTGTCCACGTTTCATACAGTGATATATATATAGAGTGAAGAATGGTTTACAGTGCCTGCATTCTTACTTCCTCCGTTAACAAAAACTTCTGATGGATTTTGATGGATATGAAATCGCTTAGAACAGGTCAAGAACAGTTTGTATCAACTGGAAATCACTGAGCGAAGGTGATTCAGCCTATGTACAGCGTCTTTACAAGAGAAACTTTTGGCGGAATGAGCAGAGAGTTCAGTTTGCGTCGCTTCCGCTCGACTCATTTTTGACCTGCGTCGCTGTCGTCATCTGCTGCACGGGAGTCGTCATCTGCTGCACGCGAGTCGTCATCTCTCTCTCGAGTCGTTGTTCAGCTCGTTTCAGCCTTGCCTCGGCTTCTTTGATCACACTCCGCTGACCTTGATGTCGCCGTCGTTCAAGTAAGTTGGCTTTAAAGCTGCGTGATCCGCCGCGATGGCAATTACTAGTTTCCACCAGAGAGTCGTGAAAAATATTTTACGACTCCCTGGTTTCATCTTCGTTCTCCAGGGCTCTGCGAAACGAGGAGTAAAGGCACAGCCAAACTGATTCCATTTTCTCTAATGGATACCCCTGCCAGCACTGAACGGCAGCGGCTAGCAAGTCCAGTCGACTTTCTTAAGCCATGAGACTCGCATGGGACTGCAGACTTCTGAAAGAATGCATGGTCATCAGCATTCGAATCTGGGCTTTGCGCAGGTTGAACAAGAACTTGACTTTAGAATTATTTTCATTGAGCCGTGCGATCGGAGCAGCTCCTTGTTCACTCGCTCATTGTGTGGGTTCGCTGCTCCGTTTTATCGCTCTCTATCGCTCTCCAACTTACTTAGTGCTAAAGTGGTAGAGAGGCCAAGCAGCGCAATATCCCTTCGGAGAAGTGGTGTTTTAGTTTCGCTCGCCATGACTCTCATCACCTATGCTTCCACAGCGCAACCATCGATTCCGCTCGGCTTGTTGTGAAAGGTCGCTTTCCTTGCAGCGTACCTCTTTCATGGCATGCCAGTGAAGGCCAAGAAAGTGATTGCGACTCATTTCACGGCAGGTTGTGCCCAAACCAGCCCCTCAAAAATCCATCACGAAGTTTTTGTTAACGGAGAAAGTATATAGCTTGAGTTTTCCGTGTGAAGCATGTCATTTCCAGGCCACTTTTAAAAATCTGTTTGTTTCCGTTTCCAGGATAACAATATCACTACCAAAGGTCTCCCTCAAAATATAGAGGACATTTAGTTGTCAGATGGAGAGCCAAGGTTTAATTTATACAAAAGAGAAAGACCAAGGAACTACAAGTTACGCTATACTGTCCACTAACACCACCAGTTACTAAACAATCAGCTCATGCGATAACATTGCACGACACTGACCGACGGTACTGACGTTCTACAACTAACTGGCTAACAGCTCTAGCACATCTTGGATGCGCACTCCAACAGCCTACTGTCCTTCACAGCTGAGACTTTCAGCTCATGCTTATCTTGGTTGCGCTCACCTTCCCCTCCTTATGTTATTTCTATAGCTTAGAACCTTCCAAGTTGGAAGGCTGTTGGAGTGCGCATCCAAGATGTGCTAGAGCTGTTAGCCAGTTAGTTGTAGAACGTCAGTACCGTCGGTCAGTGTAATGCAATGTTATAGCTGGAGCTGATTGTTTAGTAACTGGTGGTGTTAGTGGACAGTATAGCGTAACTTGTAGTTCCTTGGTCTTTCTCTTTTGTATACATTTAGTTCTGTCTGCGGTGTTCGTTTCAGCTCAATTCTCTATCAAGCGACCTAAATCCTGTGTCTGGGTTACCAGATGCTGCCATCTTTGGTGGTAATGCTCGTCCGCTGCAATCACTCAATGATCGAACGATCTACCAAAACTTTCCGGTACGTTTCTGAATGTTTTGTACCCTTTGTGCATGTAATCGTGTGCTAAGCTTCACCTTTCATACAAAATGAATCATTCAACATCAATTCAAAAACCAAACGAATACAGTCAGCTTCGCGTACACCGACACTCGACGGGGTATCAGAAAAGTTTCCTTATACCCCAAGTCTCATTATGTATTACATTTAGATGGGACTTTGCTCTGGGCATGGAAATACTATCGTTATTCGCGAATTGTCGTTATATCCGCAGTCGTTATTAGCCTTTGTTGACTGTACTACTGTAGATAGAGGGTATTCAGTAGTTTGAAGGACAAGTGCGAGCAGGAAAAATTCGAAGAAACAATTCACTTTCACCACCAGGACTCAAACCAAGAACGCTTGCTTATCGCCCTATGAATCTAAAATGTAACTATTCATGCCTCAAACATATTTCCAACTTCCATGAAAACCATTATGCCGTTATTATTGGTCGTGATGACCAATAACAACGGCATAAAAGGCACACATTTTCACATTCTATATACATGTATCGGATTTTTGGCCTGCAAATTAAGAGATACTATCTACGAAGCACACAGACAAGAAATCAGATTCTTCCCTGGCTGCAAATCATCTGGCACTAGGCTGGCAGTTAAATACTAAGCCATCCAGAGAGGCCAAAACTTGTAGGAATACACAACTGCATCACATCAACCTTTCTCGTATGTGGTTTTAGATGACCCCTGGTCCCCCCACAGTCGCCACGTCCACAGTCGCTCCACAAGTAAGCTTTTGTGTAGTCGTCAACCAAGCGGCGACCATTTCATTCTGAATTCGAAACTCAAGCCTGATGTGAATCCACACAGGCGGGTGGTATGCAGCCCTCACAACCCACACACTTCGTGTACGAACTAGCACCCGGGGAGCTCTGACATTATTATAGTATTCTTTAGCGTATGTACAGTATAAAATGCACCTATCACATCAAAGTCCCCATTTCAGTTTCCGTATTTGGCTCCTGTTCTCATGATTTCATCCAAGAAGGAAGTCAGAAGGGACGAAGGCTGCAATAAGCCCATTGCGCATTGCCAAATATGGAAGGTATGAGTAATGCATGTGAGTACACTGGGATCAGGAATGCACTGTTCAGTGCTCAACACCCCAGACGACTATGCCCAGGTGGTTGTCTGGGGTGTCTATGGCACAAATTACGTCATTGCGCAATGGGCTTATCTCTTAATTTGCTAAATCCTATATACAGGATTTTGGTCATATTTTTCAGCTCAAAATGGGTGTGGCATGAGAATAGCAAAAAGTATGTGACCAATTCTTCCTTGCTAGGTCTTAGTAGATATCGAGAGTTGAATAAGATAATTTTTTCAAACACTAACATCTCAGGCTCATCTCCTTGCCCAATATTACTAAGGCCTGTGCCCTATTTCAAGATTCCTATATATAGGATTTGAGATTTTATTGGACCTTGTTTTATCCTCAAAACTGGTAGTTTCATGACGGCATGCGCGATATGTCGTCAAGAAACCACCCCGTGCCACACCTGCAATGTTCTTCTGCACATTCACTGCTTCAGTCCTTTCCATGACAGCAGCTGAACAATTATGCTCAAATTTCCAATTATTGCTGAAAATGGGTATTCATCAGAAATATTATCGCCCTATGAATCTAAAATGTAAACATTCATGCCTCAAACATATTTCCAACTTCCATGAAAACCATTATGCCGTTATTATTGGTCGTGATGACCAATAACAATGGCATAAAAGGCACACATTTTCACATTCTATATACATGTATCGGATTTTTGGCCTGCAAATTAAGAGATACTATCTACGAAGCACACAGACAAGAAATCAGATTCTTCCCTGGCTGCAAATCATCTGGCACTAGGCTGGCAGTTAAATACTAAGCCATCCAGAGAGGCCAAAACTTGTAGGAATACACAACTGCATCACATCAACCTTTCTCGTATGTGGTTTTAGATGACCCCTGGTCCCCCCACAGTCGCCACGTCTTCAGCTTCAGGACCTACGATTGGTGAGTCTCCATGTTACTATGAGTATGCGTGATCCATGCATGTGAAAATGATATCAGGAATATGCAGGAATTGAGTAGTAGCAGACGAGGCGCTTCAAAAATATCAAGGAGAGCGAACAGTAGACTGACAAGAGCAGAAAAATGAAGTGAAGTAGGAGCGATGTGTTGAAAGGCTTGAAGATGGATGTTATCATCTATGGTGCACATGGATGTTATCATCTATGGTGCACATGGATGTTATCATCTATGGTGCACATAGACAAAAACGTACTGCCATGTATATGTACATGTATATGCACACACACAAATACACATACAGTGCTGGCAACTGAAATCCGACCCCCCCTAGCGGTGCGCTAGCCGCGTTAGCGATTCGTACGAGACGCTAGGGGGGTCGGATTTCAGTTGCCAACACTGAACATCTATGGATACACAGACACACACACACATACACACACACACACACACACACACACACACACACACACACACACACACACACACACACACACACACATACATGACTGTATGTACCAAACTCTTATTGCTGGATGTATTTTTCGTTAATGTATTATCGTTGCATCCTCTACTAGTCAACAATGAAACCACGTCTTCAGCTTCAGGACCTACGATTGGTGAGTCTCCATGTTACTATGAGTATGCGTGATCCATGCATGTGAAAATGATATCAGGAATATGCAGGAATTGAGTAGTAGCAGACGAGGCGCTTCAAAAATATCAAGGAGAGCGAACAGTAGACTGACAAGAGCAGAAAAATGAAGTGAAGTAGGAGCGATGTGTTGAAAGGCTTGAAGATGGATGTTATCATCTATGGTGCACATGGATGTTATCATCTATGGTGCACATGGATGTTATCATCTATGGTGCACATAGACAAAAACGTACTGCCATGTATATGTACATGTATATGCACACACACAAATACACATACAGTGCTGGCAACTGAAATCCGACCCCCCCCCCTAGCGGTGCGCTAGCCGCGTTAGCGATTCGTACGAGACGCTAGGGGGGTCGGATTTCAGTTGCCAACACTGAACATCTATGGATACACAGACACACACACACATACACACACACACACACACACACACACACGCACACACACACATACACACATACATGACTGTATGTACCAAACTCTTATTGCTGGATGTATTTTTCGTTAATGTATTATCGTTGCTTCCTCTACTAGTCAACAATGAAAACACGTCTTCAGCTTCAGGACCTACGATTGGTGAGTCTCCATGTTACTATGAGTATGCGTGATCCATGCATGTGAAAATGATATCAGGAATATGCAGGAATTGAGTAGTAGCAGACGAGGCGCTTCAAAAATATCAAGGAGAGCGAACAGTAGACTGACAAGAGCAGAAAAATGAAGTGAAGTAGGAGCGATGTGTTGAAAGGCTTGAAGATGGATGTTATCATCTATGGTGCACATGGATGTTATCATCTATGGTGCACATGGATGTTATCATCTATGGTGCACATAGACAAAAACGTACTGCCATGTATATGTACATGTATATGCACACACACAAATACACATACAGTGCTGGCAACTGAAATCCGACCCCCCCCCCCCCCCCTAGCGGTGCGCTAGCCGCGTTAGCGATTCGTACGAGACGCTAGGGGGGTCGGATTTCAGTTGCCAACACTGAACATCTATGGATACACAGACACACACACACACACACACACACACACACACACACACACACACACACACACACACACACACACACACACACACACACACACACACACACACACACACACACACACACACACACACACACATACATGACTGTATGTACCAAACTCTTATTGCTGGATGTATTTTTCGTTAATGTATTATCGTTGCATCCTCTACTAGTCAACAATGAAACCATTTTGCGTTTACTATAATTTTATGTCTTGCAATGATAGTCACACACATGCATGAATGCATACTGCTAGTTGCCTGTTTGTGTTAAAAAGAAGAGACAACAACAGCGACAACGGCAGGAACAACGAGAATGATCACGACAACGATAGCAACATCTGGGATTTTGATAGATCAGTTCATTGACATAGACCATAGGGCTTGAAAGTGATTACGTCAAAACGGCTAGAGTAAGTAGTAAGTTCTACATTTGGATCCACCAAGGCGTGACTTTGCTATTGCCTACAGTGTGTGGGTGCATCACCTTGTGCTTGCATCCATACAAAAACTGTATGCATGTGGGTCCAGTTTTGGAATTTTTGAAATTGTTGCTATGCTGTGATGTAGCACTTTCAAGCCCTATTAGCAAAACAATACCACACTTATGCATATGCTTGGTTTCACGCTGAAGAAGTATTCAAGATACTGCTCTCATTGGACGGGCACCGTAGTTGACATCAATTTCTCTTCTCTGCCCCTGTGTCTCCCATACAGTGTCTCTTGTCGCCCTCTTTCTCTCCATCCTGGCCATCTATGCCAACCTGTTGTGATCACCTACACACACACACCTTTTATCCTCCCGATGTTAGTAGCAAGTACTCTCGTTAGCAGTTACTGTTAGTACTTTCTTTGTTTTTGTTTTTTATTTTATTTTATTTTCTCTATTTATTCTCTTTACCAGGCGTGGGCCATCCCCTGGACTAACAAAATGGGTGCCTTATTATTATTTTTCTGTTTCTGTTTTAATGACAGTCCACTGCACGTCTGAAAAAAGTACTTAGTTTATTTTAATTTAGTTTAGGCGGGTTACAGAACTATCGACGTATCGTTCGCTGCCTTACTTGTAGTTTGATAACGCTTCGCTCTTCATTGAGATATCCACCATTCTCTCTCTTTTCTCCTTATTTTCTTCCCTGTATAAACATAATAACATATTCGCTGCCTTGTCCTTGAGCATTTGTGCTCGTTTGGATTTGCGAATTCAAATAAAGTATACAAACAAACAAGTAAACATATAACTTGAAAATGATAGACTCACGCCTGTGGATTGCTCCTGGAATAGTGTACCAACCATCTCTTCAGCGAACACGCTCACAGCAAATTCCCCCCCTCCCATTCTAGATTTTTTCCCAATTTATAAGATTTGTATCTAGTTTTCTCCCGCCGTCTTGCTCCTCTCCATACTCGTGCCAACTCAGATCCACCCACACATGTGTCTGTGCCTGACCATGGTGCAGGGTGAGAGTAAGACTACACTTCTGTGGTTAGACATTGATCTGGATGCATTTTGCAATATGATTGTCATTCCAGTTTCTCATAACATCTTCCTAAACCCCAGCCTGTTCTACTGGACAAGCACTAAAAAACAGTTTGAAAATCGTTTGCACCTTTATACTCCTATGTATTCGTATCCGTTGTTCCGAGCACACGGATAGAAAAGAGTAAAGGTAAGCATAAAGGAAAGCAGCTCGTTTATAATCCAGTGCATGAAGCCTGTAACAGGAAACAAATGGCTGTGGTGTTTTAAATGTTATGGTAGCACAGTCTATTTTGTCGCTTGTATTTGGGTATACAGCTCGCCACCTTTGTCATTGAGTACTTGTTCACATTGGCCCTGATTGTGACCAAGAGAGAGAGAGACAGACAGAGAGAGACAGACAGACAGAGAGAGAGAGAGGGAAAAGGGACCATGAGCAAGCCGTGAAAAGTCAATGGAACGAGTTCATCAGAACGCACGTGAAACACCGCGTGATTTACGATTACCTTCTCGTGTTCACAACCCGTCTACGCGAGTCGGCTGCTTTCCAGTTTCAAACAGTTTTCTGAATATTTTTTTACTGGCAACGGGTTTTGCGAATTTTTCTTGAGAACAATATTATTTTCAGTCTAATCGGCTTTTACCCGAATGCAAGTGACAGAAACCCATGAAAGCCACATCGCCGATGCATGTGTGTAGTAAAGGGTTATGCTCACGAGGTCCATGCCACAACATTATCGGAAAGACTTTACAATGGAGCCAATCTGTTGAGAATATTTTTGTATTTGTATTATATTATATTTAAGGATTTCCCAAAGACTTTGGGCCTGTCGAGGGGATCTCCTGCAAGAATAATGAAATGACAACTTTATGTAGAGGGGGCAGTTAATCGAGGATAGGCTAAGGAAATAGATCGAGGCATACAAAATCTGGTAATTTAAAAAGGAGTTGGGATACTTAAAATGTTAATAATGGTTATAAGAAAGGGTTTGCTCCCCACACCGGAGCTCGCGCTATTCCGCCGACTTTACTTGACACTTGACTGACTCACGACTGCCATCCAGAGCACACGAGAAGTCCATTGAACCTTCGACTCGGCAAACCTGCAAGAAAGCACCACTCCCTGCTCAATACACAGTGTTTCGGGGAATTCACCCCTCATCAGTTGAGCTTGAGTAGGCTGAGGAAGATTGTGCCTGAAGAGCACCACTTATATAGTGCTCTCCAGGCACAAACATCACCAGGGATACAAACTTACAGAGACGCTCCGCTTCCAGCGCGACAAACACCTCGTGAACACCAGATAGCAGCGTGAGTCAGTGTCGCTCCTGGACGGTGAGACAGACGTCGAGGACCCTCGGTCATTCGCAACGCTGTCACCTCCAAACCAACTAGTCGCAAGCCCGCGCTGGGCACAACAGTACGAAGTAGTGGTTGCGACTTCGGCGATGATTTGTAAGAAAGGGTTTGCTCCCCACACCGGAGCTCGCGCTATTCTGCCGACTTTACTTGACACTTGTGAGTCAGTCAAGTGTCAAGTAAAGTCGGCGGAATAGCGCGAGCTCCGGTGTGGGGAGCAAACCCTTTCTTACAAATCATCGCCGAAGTCGCAACCACTACTTCGTAATAATGGTTATGCCAAAATAAATGGTCCTACTGGTTGTTTGGTACGTTTCGCCCTCAAATTTATTCCAACACGAATGGATGAAGCATTTTCGAAATTTCAGAAAAATTGCAAAGTTAAAAAGGCTCGCGATTTACAGCGCTATTCTCCTTATCATGGTTAAAACCGCAAGTATTTGACTAAAACCCACTAGTTGCGGTCATGACGAGTAGACCCCTCCGAACTCGTCAAACACGAGTATGTTTCGCGTGGTCACGACGAGCCTCTAGCCCAGCTCGCCCTTCGCGTTGCCGTTTCACGGCTTGCTAGTGGTCCCTAGAGAGAGGGGAGAGGGAGGGAGGGAGAGGTAGAGAGAGATAGAGACAAATAGTAACGCCTCACACTCTAACGGTGACATTAGTATGCTTTCAATTGGGTTTTAATTGGGGTTACCCATCGCCAGAACGCTCCGCTGATTTTATCGGATACTTTCCAAACTATTTTCGGAAAACGTTGATGTCATAAAAGATTGATCCCTAGTGTCTATCCGTGAGCTAATCGTTCCTTAATAATTGCGCCTTGTTCGTCTCCGACTCATGGACCCTTATAGTTGTCACACACTGTTCGGAGATGCCTCGGGTTGAGCTATGGGCTGTGCAATCATGCCCTCAGTTGTAGCTTCATTAAAAGTGATTGTTCAAGGCTAATAAACTTGAATACCTTCTTTAGGCGTCATAAGGTAAGTTCAGTCATGAGAACGATATATTCGAGATTGACAGATCCGACAGGAATACAGTTGAGCCAGCGGTGCAGCACAGCTGTTAACAATGTGTGAAGGGGAGTTGAGACACGAGTGAAACGTAACACTCCAGTAACCCGAACTGTAATAGCTGATCCCAGCTCGACCGTGATCTAGCCGGAACTGCTAATTCTTTTCCGGTGCTCTAGATGGTGTTATGTGCTAATACCGAACGATCCGGACACTTCTGCCAAGAAAGCGAACTCCTGTCGCTAGCTGACACCAGGCATGTGTGTGCACACGATTGGTAAGGGATTATCAGAAATATAACTCAACAAAGCGTATGAAGTTAGTGTCATTTGGTTGTTTACAAAGTACTCCAAATTCTCCGAAAATTCAGGGCAGCTTTCACCCCAAGGAACGAACAGCAGGAATCATCCAGCAAACAGTCAACCGAAGTGGGCCAAGATGCAGTTAGCCATTGCAACTCTTCTAAGTAAGTCACAGCAGACTGATGAAAGGATAATTAAGTAAAGATTATATTAAAAGTGGGATATGGACTGTAAAGCAAGCATCGGAATTTCGGGAGAATGCAAATTGCGTTCATATGGCATAAATCACAAGCTTTTGATTCTCGAGAGTACAGCGATGGCAAACGGAGCCATGTTTCACTGCATGGCCAAATATATTAGAAGGTTTAGTTGATGATGGTAGTCCGGTTGTACTGAATCATTTTCTACCCAATAAAACGTCACACGATTGCCCCAAAGAAACAAGAAAAGGCATACCGGCATGTCCTGTGCTGCAAAAGGGAACATCAGGATTGTGATGATGTAAAGCGATATTAAAGGGCTCCGTAGACCAATGGTCTCGGCACCGGCGCCTAATTCACCTATGAAAAAAGGTGAGAGAAACAGAAGTGAATGTTCCCAGTGTAGCGCGGCTTCAAAAGACTACATGTATATTTAGTTGGATCTAGCATGCCTTAAAAATTTAAATTGTTAAAGGGGAAGGTTCACCTACATGCAGGGAGATTGCCCAATACAGCTGTAGAGCACTTGAAGACTCGGACATTTAGAGTACAGGACGCCAATGGTATCAACAAAAAAGACATAGTCCCCGCCCTGGCCTCGATTTATCAAATTTACCGGCAGGATATGGGTTAATGTACTCTACCATTCCAACACACACTCTTGGCATCAAGCATGGATGGATTATATTCGTTCAGCCTCGGAAACTGTGGGAGTGGTTTTCAGTCTCAATGCTCACCGCTAGTTACATGTGATCACCTTTTGTCAATGAGCTCTTCTTAGAATCTGAAATTTAAATTGTCATTAGGTGCCTCAGATCTATATAGATTATGCGAATGGAGGTATAACGGAACGCGATACTGCTGGAATTCTGGTGTATCCAGCTCCGCTCACGTTAAAAAATAATTTAAAAAAATCACGGTTCGCCTGAGACACGGCTGGAAGCCGAGTTTTCTGCATCCGCAGGAACGTCACTACCCTCTTGGATCAAGGCGTAGAATCAGCTCCTAAGCGGCGGGAGGTGCGTAGATGAGACCCACTACAAAGTGGTCAAAGACCGAAATCCCATTCACTGCATCCGTGTTTCCCTCGTGCAAAGCCAAGGGTTCCCAATTAACTGTGGTTCGCAGCACGGCTGGAAACAACCCTTCCGCTTCCAGGCAGGACTTGAACCTGATACCCTCTGTTTCTCAATCATGGTCTTAGCCGACCATCCCACTGCGCCTGCCTTCCGCTGACGTTAGTTGGCCGTAATAATTATGCCGTTCTGTAGCTTGGAGCTAGTACTTCCGATGCTTGACACCTAACATAATATTATTGCAGTGCTCCGGGCATGATTGCTTTTCTACTTGCAGATTGATGCACGTCTTGCAGATTGATGCACGTCTGCTAGCCAGTTGTTGAAATTTTAAACCAAGAAGGTCGTCTGTGTTATCGATAGGTGTTCGAAGTACAATGATTACCGAATTGTGAACAGGGCAGATTCGCAATGATATCGACGGCAGCGCAGCTAATGAAACCACAAAATTATACGTTAGACATTACACGTCGTGTGGAGTAAACCGCTGAAAACTGGCTTTCAGCTGCTCCGGGAGTCGTTACCAAGTGAACTTTATAATTATCACGATTTATTATTTTTTACTACTGTCATTAAGCACAGTCATGTGACGTTAGCCAGTGTTAGTATGGCGTTGGCGATTATTATATAACCAGCCATGGCATAGCAGAAGAAAGAAAGTGCAAGAAATTCAAAAAGACAGTACAAGTATTTTGTCGAGGCCTAGACATGGGTGCATGATGGCTTGGAGAGCGTAATTTACTTACGTGCCAGTGACACGCATCTGTAGCAGGAAGGTCACCTTACCCTGCTCATTCTCCCAGCACCACAACCTGTCCAACCCTCCTCTGCCTTCAAGCGACAGATTGCTTCAAGGGACGATAAGCAGTGTGTGTGTGCAACAAAGTTCAATCCCTTTTTCACATTACTGCTAGATTGCAGTTTTGGTCGCGTCGTTTTTCGTTCCGATCTATAATTATGGTGATCGAAGTCAAAGGAGCGTTTAGGCGATCCGACGGGAACTTTTGCCGTGGTTAAAACTCCGACTTGAAGCTAAAAATATATCTATGCTAACAAGACCAACACCAGCGAGATGACACTGTCTCCGGTTATTGAGTCGTGCGTGATCCGTGTCCGCTACATGCTCTATCTGCAGATTTGTTTATTCATATCCAGACTTGTTACTTAAAGTTGCAGACGCCACTGCAGCTGTACTTATGGTTGATAAATATGGTGGTAAAGAAGAGAAGGAGAGCTCTATGCCAGAACTTTGCAGCTTAGAGAGCGTGTGTGGGCAGGCGTATGTTTACCGACATATTGCCAGGCGTGTCTTTACCACCATATTTATCAACCAGATTTGTTATGCCTGAAATGAAATTTTTCTTATCTTTGACAGCGGGTTCAGGGCATTAGACTATTCACAAGTGGGAAATGTCTTCTGAATTCAAGGAAAGCTTGAAGTTGGTGCTCCTCGTAAAATATTATTCCCTTAACCTAATCTTCCTTCGTTTCTGTACACCTTTCTGTAGTCATTAGTCCTCATAAATAATGGATACATTCTGTGTCTGATGAATCCCAGGCCGGTTGGTCAGCTGATTGACAGATTCAGTGTACAGTGAACTGCATGCATGTTATCAAGCATCAGGGCGTAGTGTCGTATGTACAACCCATTCGGCATGCACTCACCTGCTTGAAAACACCTTCTGGTAGCCTGTGTGTGTTTAAAAAACACTGGATGACTAAAAGATAGTAAATAATGTACCTAGTCGAGGACAGCAACCCAACGGCTGCATCCTTTTGGTTTAATGTACTATGGGGTATCTCTGCCCGCCATGGAATGCTTTTGCCTCAGGTACCCTACTAGTGTACACATCCAATGCCGGCTCGGGAGGTTGGGACCACGACCCGACTTCTATGATTGGTAAGTAGTATCAGTATTTGTATTTGTATTTATGGAGTCATTATGTGACGGCAGTAAACGGAATTTGGTTAGAACCGGGATGACGTAACGTGCAGTGAAACCTGTCTAAGACGACTGCTCAAGGGGCTTTCAAAATGTGGTCTCTGGAACCTGGTGGTCTCCTTATCCAGGGTCATTTAACTGGAAATAGCATCCCTTGGTGCTCGCTGTACACCCTAGTAAAATAAAAGTTAATAATAATAATAAT